TACTGAATTTACCCAATGGCCACTAACTATCTAGTGACCTCGAAGAGGACAGAAAGCCGGCGGCTTGTTAAAGGGCCCGCCAATTGAATTAATGTTATTTTTTAGCTGGAATTTGGCATTTACGGCTTCAGCGGGTAGGCGGTTCCATGGGTTTATAGCCCTCTTGGTGGAAAAAAAAACATCTGTTTTCAGTCCTACTTGAGAGAACATACTCTCCAACACTATATCTGTGATTGTCCTGTTATCAGTGACTTCATACCAAATGGTATGAGGTACTTTGAGCTCTGTAATTACTTCATACACTCAGGAATATTGGAAGATATTCTTGTGCTGCACCCAGATTTTGCCAGTGGAGGCTAATAGATCAGCATTAAGTATTTTGTTCTCTCCTAATTCCATGTATGACTGGCCATCCTGTGAGGTGAGGATGTTGGGTGAGCTTGTAGCTGGTTTTTGATCTACACTGTGTGGTCCTTTATACAGAATAGGGAAGCAGCACATTGCTGTGTATACCTAAACATGTTTAAAAATACATTGTTTGAGAGGAGTTTTGTAGAAACTGGTAAGAGTAATTATAATATAATGTTTCCATGATTCAGTGCTTACCTCTTGTGAAAATTGCTTAGAGTTGTTTAGTCAGAGTTGATTTGTTTTTTGTATTGAGGCTGGTATTTTCTAAATTGATTCCATGTACAGTATGTCTAACCATCCTGTGAGATGGGAGTATTAGATAAACTTATAGCTAGTTTTTTATCTACACTGTGTAATATTCCATATAGAATAGGGTAGCAGCACATTGCTGTGTATACCTAATCTTCTTAATAAAAAAAATCAGTAATAAAGATTTTAAATTATAGTTTGTATTATTACAAATACAGTACTGTATTATCCTTATTAAATCATGTTGACCATGGATCATTAAGATCTCATGTTGATATGTAATACAAGTCATATTTCTTTTGAACTGCTAATCCATGCTAATCATTCATTAAATTGTGCATTATGTCTTAATTTTTCACTTCCTTGGATATACTGTACAGTACAAAAAGATAGGATAAAAATAAACCAGTAATATTTCTTTCATTATATTTTTCATTTAAATAACTGCATCAATATTTTTACAGCTGACAGGATTTGTTTTCCCATACAGGTGCATTATTTGTTAAAAAAAATTTGGTTTATTGTTACACACAATGGTGCTACATAGCCTTCCCAGCTTGGTGCCTTCTTTTAATACTTACTGATTAAAAAATAAATAATAAATACATTTTATTCAGGAAAAGTACATACAGTTGATTTACAAACATAATGTTGGATTTATAGGCAGAGCTAGTACATACAATACCTAAAGCCACTAATACTCATAGCATTTCGGGCAAGGTGTGGGGGGAAAAAAACACAGACTAAAACTTAATAGCAATCGAGATTAGGTATAAATTGTGTTGAAAGAAGGAATAAAAAATACAAAAAGGGGGTTAACATAGCATAAATCAGCAATTGCACATGTTGGTGAACAGCGTTGTTTAAAAAATAGCAAGACATGGGTTGACATTTAGGAGGTAAGTTAGGTTACATGGAGTTAATTAGGCAGTACTTGGTTTAACTCTTAAACTGGTTGAGAGAGGTACAGCCTTTGACATGATTCGGGAGGTCATTCCACATTCTGGGTCCCTTGATTTGTAGAGCACTTCTAGTTTGGTTACACACAGCCAAATTGAGTAACAGGAAGAGGTCTTGGACACAAATTTGTTCCATGCTAAATGTAGAGGAATCAGCTGAGTATTCCTCAAATAAAATAAGTTGCCTCAGCTTATAAGGTAAATAAAATAAGCATTTCTCAAATAAGTAGCTGCCTCACCTCACTGCCTTACTGCTACATAGCCTTCCCGGCATGGTGCCTTCTTTTGATAATTACTTGTTCCACACCCAAATTGTATAACAGGAAGAGGTCTTGGACCCCTACTTCCCTCTCTCTTTTTTAGTAGTCTATATAGTCATAATTATAGCTTTAAGTATTCAATGAATAAAGTTTTTGACATTTTTACCCTTTTCCTTACCTAACATCATTTGTGCAGCATATTTTTATTTTATGTCTCACCCAGATTTAATTTCAAAATAAAACCAAACTAAATAAATTAGAAATGGGTATGTATAGCTAAGGTACACCCTTACTACTAGGTGAACAGGGGCATTTGGTGATAGTAAATGATCCCATCAGGCAGGGCTCATCACCTTCTCTCATATTTCATGTTCACCAGTGTTTATTTACTTAATAACTACTGGTATAATATCTTGCTATTATAAAACTAATTCTACTATCATCAAACACATATTTACTTCAAGTTTCAAGCAGAGAATGCATATATAACTAACACGAAGGACTCCTCTCCACTAGATTCACCAGCTATAATATTTTGGTCATGTTCCAATATCATAAATCGATCCCAGTGTTATGTAGTAGAGAAAAAATGACTTATATCCAGTTTACGTAAAGCTACGAGTGGTCGAAACCACACTTAAATCCCGGAATGAACTTACGAAGATTTTTCCACTTAGGGTAGTTAATTGAATACGGACGTAGCCGCCACGAAGGCGCTAAGACGGAAAACGCTCTTAGCTAAGAGGAAAAACCTTCGTAAGTACCTTCCTGAATCCGGCCCCTGGTCTATTAATGTAATAATATTATTAAAGTAATAATAATACAGCTGATGCCATCTGTCGGCAGATAAGAACACTATCAAATGGCTGGTCAATAGTAGCTATAAGATACAGCTTACGCCATCTGTTGACATCAAATTACACTTATAACAAATTACCCTACAAAATACAACTAACGCCATCTGTTGCTTTTCCAACGCACTATAAATAGCCAAACAGCAACCCATAAGGCGGGTTGTTGTGCTCGGGTAGGAGGTTCCAAGCTCCGCCCCACAAGATGGGTATGGGGTGCATAATAAATAAAATGGTGGCATATCATTGGTAGAAACTCTTTGTTGACATTCACACAACAGCCAATCACAGGAAGGGATCAGCTATAGGTGCCATCCACTTAGTAAATCATCTTAGTTCAGCCCACCAGTCCTGCTTATGGAATTCTGCTTTAACTTTAATTTACCCAAAAAAGTGAAGTGTTAATTATTTAAAGTGTTAATAAAGTGATAATTAAATATGGCAGGATATAACAGATGTTATATAAAAATGGGCTGGCTACCTAACTTGTGACGTCATTATTGGGGGTTGCCTTGACACAAATAATGATACGCTGCTCTGCCCTCTTATTCAAGTAAATTATTCAGTTAGATGGAGATTTCTGTCGGGTGTAAAACAGAAATTGTTGTTCTTTTTCACAACACCCTTGTTGTTGTGCACAAGGACCTATTTCTTAGTTTAAATTTTATTCATAAAAGAGTGTTGGTATTCCCCGCAACAGCCAATCACAGGAAGGTATTTCTGGAAGCTCGGCCTCCTTATGGACTCAGCACATCGCTCTAGCTCATGGCTCGCTGTTTCATCTCTTGTATATACAAACTATGACTTTTTTCGATTACTGTTATAATTAATAATATGAGATATAAAAGTTTTTACACAAAATGGCTAAATTCTGCTATTAAAAGGACTTTGTCTGGTATACATACAAACATACACCAATTTATTACCATTCATCCATTATTAATTTCAAATGTAATGTATACTGTCTAGTTTTTTCCTCTCGCCATTACTTGGTGCAATATTTGAAAATTGTCTATTTATTTATCGATCTATCTATTATCTTGTATTTATATTTACAAGTTTCTGTGCTTGGAAGAAAACTCTGCATTGAATTGGGACTAATTTATTAAATAATATTATTTAGTATTAATTAATATTTACAATTATTATTAATTACAAATATTTATAGCTTAGTTACTTTCATGTAACTCGCAATCGTACATTCTTAACATTAATAGCCCAAATTAGCACATCTTGCTTGTAAATTAGTCCAAAAAGTAGCAAGTAGCGAAATCAAATATTTGGGAGCGCGGGGCTCTCAAAAGTAGCCCAATTCGCTATTTGTAGCCTAATCTGGCAGCACTGCACCCTGTACCTATATATATACACCGATGTATTATGTATTATAATATGCCTCAGAAATAATAATAATAAGTAGTGGTAATGTCTTCTGACAGACATAATAACATAGAATAAAACCCCACACATGTGTATTTGAGAAATTTATGGACAGAATTTACACCAAGTCTTTCGCACTCTCCTGAGTGCTTTGTCAAGATCTGAGTGTGTGATTACGACCAGATTTACACCTCAACGTCTAATGACGTTGGTTATGTAAGATTAGACGTTGAGATGTAAGTTTCGTGCTAATCACACACTTAGAGCTTGACAAAGCACTCAGGACAGTGCGAAAGACTTGGTGTAAATTCTGTCTAAAAATTTTACAAATACAAACGTGTGGGTTTTTATCCTATGTTATTAAGTCTGTGAGAAGACATTACCATTACTAATTATTATTATTATTATTATACTATAAAACTAGAGTTAATTCTACCGATGATGTTTTTTTTACTGAGTTACCCCATCAACGTTTCATTTTCTCTCATTCCAAGTAAAGAAAACGTTTAATTTAAGGGTAACTATTAGCTCAAATTTCAGCTTTTAGTTCCTAGTTACCACTGTTGAGGACATGAAGCCGGTTAAGCTTATCGAGGTCCTTTCCCTAGGCCTTGGGCCTAGGCCAACTACAGCCAATTCCCAGGATGAAACCCACAACAGTTGCTTAACTCCTGGGGTTCCGATTTACTGCTCGGTGGACAGAGGCAACAGGTGAAAGGAAACATGATGAATGAGTCTTCATTATTATACTCATCACCGCAACATGGACATAACAGGCTAGAGTAACTTGGAGAATGATTTACAGGTTAACCTGTTAAATGACGTAAATAATGTCTAAACTGCTGGTTAAATTTAGAATGTGTATGTAAATTGGTACTGTTGTATTAATACAGATGGCGCTCAACTTGTCATAAAATACATCCATTGGTAGATACTCCTGACGTTTTACTAAATCAGTCTGGTGTGATCTCATTTGATGCGCTCAACGCCTAAAATTGGTGGGTAGTCATTATCTCCTTCTTGCAGGTCGGCGTTCGATCCCGGACGGTCCAAGTGGGTTGGGCAACATTCCTTAATTCCGTTTCCTATCCGAGTTCCTTGTCTGCATGATCCTTCCACGTCAAAGGAAGTCAAATTGGGCAAAATAGCTTAGCAATTTTCTCCTGAAAATTACCTTCAATACTTTTATAAATCATCAGAGTCCGTCTCAAATGATGGAGTTTAGGGCAAACTAAAGTAGATTTTCACTTGTATGAGTTACACTACAAAGACGGTCAAGGAAGCTTTTCATTAAACGGAATTCAGTTTGGTGATATACCCTTATTGTAGAACGAATTATTGTCGTGCACTACAAGTAGGCATTCTGGACCCTTGCACTATGAGTGGGTACCTTTAACCATGCGTGAGAGGGACGGGCTGGTCTATAAAACAATTTCTGCATTTACAATTTTATTTCTAAACATTACAAAGAATTTCACGATTAAATAAATTCCCCCCCCCCAAAATAAAGTTGGGTGCATTTGTTTCTATGTCAACTATGTTGTGTTCTCGCTGCTGTCTACTGTGTCTTCAAATTATTATTACAAAAGTACATATATCAATTAATAAACAAAGAGAGCTGTTGGCACACTTAAGTTATATATGGTCGAAACTTATTGCTAAATTTCTTGAGTTTGAGGCATATCTCGCACACAACCTCTGGATTCCTTAAACGATGACTTGTCAATACAAACGGACAGTCCCGAATCATCCCAGTTAAAAAATCTATCAATACGTATATAAAAAAATAAGTTGAGCGTGAAGATGAAAAAAAAATTGAGACGAGTACTTTTCATAAGTTCGAAACCTCCTCACGTTCCTATGAAGCTACGACCAGAACCCACATTGAGTGGGTTCGTCACACACATTCGCTCCCCACATATACACGACACACATGCAATTATTATCTCAAATATAGTGTGTAAACAAGAGTGTCCACACGAATCCTTCACAGCACGATATAAACACAGCATTCGAATCAACAGAAGTTTCATGCGGCAGAAGAGTCTTATGTTTGACTATAATGGATAAGGTAATAATCTTACATGTTTTCTGTAGCAATCACCAAGAGTGTAAGTTTATTCAGAAGCATTGCTTCACCATATTGTTTTATGACTTGTTCAGTGACGCAAATATGTGCTTTAGAATCTAATGACAAATCTTTAAAGTATGTTAAGAGCATTACCACGTGTCTCCGCCAGCACCCAGCTTCTCTATATAAATATATTCAACCTTTTTACCCTAGTCTGTGCTGGTGTCGAATCAGTTAATCCTCGCTGCCAAGCTACACCCGACCCCACAGAGTAATCCACATACTGTTCAACCAAAAACGAGATTTCTTAAAATTTATGTAAATATTATTTTACATTATAATTTTGTTTATAGTTATATTGGCATAGGTTAGGTTAAATGTTTTGACAATTATTTGCATTTTGCGGTACGTGATTGAAGCATTCAGAGAGATGCGATTCGAATCCAGATTGGCGGATTGTTTGACGTACATCTAGTTAATATTTATGAAGTGGGGCTGGGACGGAAGGAGTGGGGTGACTCGTGAACAATGCTCAGATCATTTATATATATATTATGGAGTGTTACATGCGTTCGATTTAGTTCTAGAGGTGTTGAGTGCGTCTCGTAGGAATTTTTGGTTTGCATTGATTGCATACGCACGCATATTTAAGCTGCATTCACATCAACACATGTGTGTGTGTGTGTGTGTATTGCGGGCTGGTGTATTGTGAGACAGTTCAGCATTTACATACACAACACACACACACACACATTTTGGTAAACTATTCTTAATACGCAACTCCCAACTGTTGCGCAAAATGTCGCTTAAGTGAGACAAGAGGTGGTTAGAGTTCGATAATGGCTGTTCCTTGTTTACGGAGTGTTGTGGGGGATTATTTACATAGCTTAGGGTTGGTGATTGAGGCTTTTTTAAACTCGCGTCACCTACCCGGGCTGTGTCAGTGTATCGTATTTACCTGTCTGGCCACGAATTTATATTTAAGTTCGTGACCTTTATAACTCTGAATTTGGTGTTAGATCCGGGTTAAAAACTGCCAAACCAAGTTACTAATGTTTGCAATGATTGCTCTTCCTGCAAACAAATCGACTACACGTGTATAGCGCACGTTCACACACACACACACACACGCGCGAGCATACACACACACCAAAGCCGTAGTGGCTGGCGACAAGGCTCTACCAGCCGCGCTAGTGAGCATCGAGGCGGACCAGGTTCTCCGGAGGGTTGCCGACGTCAAGGAGGAGGTGGGTGAAGAGAGGGTGCCGGTGGAGGGCCAGCTGGCTGTACCGGAGCGTGTTGAGGCCGTCCAGTCGGTACCGGCGACCAGATGTTCTCACCAACTTCCCGCGGACCTGAGGCCACAGAAACATTCAACCAGTGTGTGTGCTTCAAATGAAATTGCCACCCCATTAAAAATATAACACGTGTTGGGTCCTATTAACACGTGCTAGGTCCTATTAACACGTATTAGGTCCTATTAACACGTGTTAGGTCCTATTAACACGTGTTAGGTCCTATTAACACGTGTCAGGTCCTGTTTAAATCCATCAATTTTTCCCTCATGCATCTATTATATTTTATTAAACTATTAGATTCAATAATGATAGCTTATAATTCGCTTCAATCGTCTACAATCCTATTGCAAAAATAATATTTGCTTGGATCACTTTTTTCACAAATTTCTTACCACTATTATAAATTCTGAATAGACTTGGGGCAATTTCAAGACCCCCTTTTTTATGTCTTGTAATTGATCTGCGGAACTGCATCAACTAATTGATGTATATCAAAAAAACTAGAACAGACCTCAGTCACTCCCCTTGACTTACGCCATCCAAGGTAATGTAAGCCAAGGTATGTTTGTTTTGGTGTAAGACTTGAGATCTATCACCACCTGGGAAGGGGGAGTGCCACCACAGTGCCAGGAAGAGGGGGAGGAGTGCTTCAGAAAAGTAGACTATATTTCCATTTCATTTACCTGAGGCTGTAGGAGGCTCGAACCGTGGACCCAATGTGTGTGAGGCTGAAGTTTTTTAAGTTGACTATACCCCTGACCAAAGGCACTGCGGTATACTCTTAATGTATGTATACATCGAGGAATAAGGAGCGCCTCTCGCTGAATATATATATATATACACGCTTGTCAAGATCTTAGAATCTGTTTGCATCAGGAAAATTCCTGTTGCAGGCACTAGGGAGTAAGAACGTACCTTCCAGGTGAGTGGTCGACGCTTGAGGTGACGAATCATGGTGTAGCGAGCCAGCATGTTGGGCGGCCGGGTAATACTCAGCCCAGACTGCTTAATCCTGTCAACACAAACACCTCCTCGTTACTTCTGGTGAAACAACACACATAGGAACTATACACACAGAGGTGTAGGTTCCAGGTGCAAGGTGTCGCTAGGTAGGAAATGCTCAGAGACACTCTGAGGTGCAGATTATTGATCTAAAACACATGATATATGTTTTGCGGTGCTCAAAATCTCGCCTTTATTATCAACATTTATCTAAGTTTGAAGAGGGTAAGTCACAGTAACCTGCTTGAAACTTAAGGCACTCAACCCACACTTCTGAAAGTAAGCCTGAACTAACGACGATGTTTCCGTCCATCCTGGACCATTATCAAGTCGAGTAATGACTCGAGAATGGTCCCAAAAAAACGGACCGAAACGTCATCACTTCCTATGTTTTCACATGTGCAAGTTTCAGATGTTTTACATTATTTCATGACACAATTTCTTCTGTTTACCAGACTTTAACGCAGCACCGCAAATACTAATCTGCAGGTACAATACCATTTCAGCACCCCAAGCTTCCTTATTTACCCCAAGTTAACAGGTGGAAACAAATCCACAAGGGCCGTGACGAGGATTCGAACCAACGTCCCAGATCATCCCAGACGTGGAACGGTGGAAACTATTTACTCCCCCCAGTACACCTTGGAGAGTGTATGTACACCCGTGTGGCGTGGCCTACCTGTAGCCCATGTCGTCGTCCTCCCCACCCCAGCCCCAGTACATGTTGGAGTAGCCATTGAGCCGCAGGAAGTGGTCCCCCCTCACACTCAACACGCCCCCCACCAGCAGGAAGTATGGTAATCTGTAGAGTGAGACGTTAATAAGAACATAAGAATGACGGTAACTGCAAAAAGCCTACTGGCCCCCCATACGAGGCAACTCCTATTTAAATCCAGCCAATCCTTCAATAATTTGACTCCTTCGATGCGGATACATCATACAGGAATGTAATCATCGAGTGTTGTGTATATATATATATCTTGCTTCTCGGTGTATGTATACTGTATAGTTCTGAATCATGTATGATGGCTAGTGTAGGCCTTGCTGGTTGGGCAGTAAACTTTTATAATGACCATTCCGCGGTTGATAGGTGTTAAGGCCAATACGGAAGTGCGTAAAGGTACTCATTAAAGCTATATTATCACTGCCATATGTTTGATAAATGACATCACACAGCGAGTCGTGTGTGTGTGTGAATGTGTACTAGAGTGTGTGTGTGTGTGTGGGCCGGTGTGCACGGATGCGTGCGATCCTGAAAGCGTAGGTGCTTGCGTGCGTGTGCTTGTGCACGTGCATGAGTGTAATGCCTATGGGAATGTGTGTATGTGTATGTGTGTGTATGTGTGTGTTTGTGTGTATGTGTGTGTTTGTGTGTTTGTGTGTGTGTGTGTGTACTCACCTATTTGTACTCACCTATTTGTGCTTGCGGGGGTTGAGCTTTGGCTCTTTGGTCCCGCCTCTCAACTGTCAATCAACTGGTGTACAGATGTGTGTGTGTATGTGTGTGTGAGGAAATAATGTACTAACGTATCAAGTTATCAATATTGAACATTTGGTGATCACTGTGGCTTTAGACTTTAATCAGAAAGAATAATTAATGCATAGAATATGTCCAATGCATAATTCATAAATAAATTTAACCTGAAGTATTCAATTAACATCCCAAACAAAAAGTTTCACCATGTAATTTTGTAGTTGCACGACAAAAGTTGCACAATAACTTTCACTAAAACATTACGTATGAAAGTTGCAGGGAATTACAGGATGCATTACTAGTGGAAGTCAGGCAAGGTAGTATATACCCTGGAAACACAAACCGAAACTGTCTCTATTTTCCGCTTGTTACAACTTGTAATAAAGTTGTTACATCATGGCTTAACGTGTTAATGACGTATTAGAGCGTTGTTACAACTTGCTATATTGGTTGTTATAACGGGTTAGGAGGTGTTAAAACTTGTTCGAACGTTGTACCAACGTCGTAGTTTCGGAGTGTGTTTGGCGGGTAGGAAACTCTAACTCTGCAAACACACAACATAACTGCCTCCTTCCGCTTGTTACAACTTGCAATAAAGTTGTTAGGTGTTTTAAAACGTTGTAGCAACGTTACAGTTTCGTTGTGTGTTTTCGCGGGAAGTCTGTACGACTGAATACCGCTTGGATAGGATACAAGGACGAGGATTTGGGATATGAGAACGTAGGAAAGCGCCTATAACCACTTGGACTGTTGGGAGGATATGGAACGCCGACCTGCAAGAAGCGAAGCCGTCGTTGAATACCGACCAGTCCAAGTGGCCTGGCACCAGCGGAAGTGACGGAAGAAGCATATGGAAGGAAAGGAAACTATCAGGGGAAAAGTGCCAAGCCCTTACACGACTATATAGCACTGGGAAGGGATGAGGATAAGGATTTGGGATGGAACGGGAAGGGGGAAAGGAATGGTGCTTACTTGTAACCTAAGGTGTCGACCCCGACGGAGAGGTGCCGGGGCTGCGGAGGGCAGGAGTACATGTTTCGGTCGTTCTCCGGTAGAAGGTCCACGTCGTGGAAGACGAAGCAGTTGGCGTCACTTCGCTGCCAGGCCTCCATGAAGCCCGCGTTCATGATGGAGCCCTTGTTGAAGGTCGCGTTGCCCGCCTGCAGGCAGGTAGTTGGCGCGTTAGCACAGCCCTTCCAACTATTAAGTCATGTCAGCTTTTGTCTTATGGGTTTATACTTTAACAATAATTTAACTGATGTTTTTCTCTCGTCAGGCTTGCAGTAAGGTGAACACAATGATTCGTCAGGCTTGCAGTAGGGATAACACAATGATTCGTCAGGCTTGCAGTAAGGACAACACAATGATTCGTCAGGCTTGCAGTAAGGACAACACAATGATTCGTCAGGCTTGCAGTAAGGTGAACACAATGATTCGTCAGGCTTGCAGTAGGGATAACACAATGATTCGTCAGGCTTGCAGTAGGGATAACACAATGATTCGTCAGGCTTGCAGTAAGGACAACACAATGATTCGTCAGGCTTGTAGTAAGGACAACACAATGATTCGTCAGGCTTGCAGTAGGGACAACACAATGATTCGTCAGGCTTGCAGTAGGGATAACACAATGATTCGTCAGGCTTGCAGTAAGGACAACACAATGATTCGTCAGGCTTGCAGTAAGGTGAACACAATGATTCGTCAGGCTTGCAGTAAGGTGAACACAATGATTCGTCAGGCTTGCAGTAGGGATAACACAATGATTCGTCAGGCTTGCAGTAAGGACAACACAATGATTCGTCAGGCTTGCAGTAAGGTGAACACAATGATTCGTCAGGCTTGCAGTAAGGTGAACACAATGATTCGTCAGGCTTGCAGTAGGGATAACACAATGATTCGTCAGGCTTGCAGTAGGGATAACACAATGATTCGTCAGGCTTGCAGTAAGGACAACACAATGATTCGTCAGGCTTGTAGTAAGGACAACACAATGATTCGTCAGGCTTGCAGTAAGGTGAACACAATGATTCGTCAGGCTTGCAGTAAGGATAACACAATGATTCGTCAGGCTTGTAGTAAGGACAACACAATGATTCGTCAGGCTTGCAGTAGGGATAACACAATGATTCGTCAGGCTTGCAGTAGGGATAACACAATGATTCGTCAGGCTTGCAGTAAGGACAACACAATGATTCGTCAGGCTTGCAGTAAGGTGAACACAATGATTCGTCAGGCTTGCAGTAGGGATAACACAATGATTCGTCAGGCTTGCAGTAAGGACAACACAATGATTCGTCAGGCTTGTAGTAAGGACAACACAATGATTCGTCAGGCTTGCAGTAAGAACAACACAATGATTCGTCAGGCTTGCAGTAAGGACAACACAATGATTCGTCAGGCTTGCAGTAAGGACAACACAATGATTCGTCAGGCTTGCAGTAAGGACAACACAATGATTCGTCAGGCTTGCAGTAGGGCTGTTGTGTGCTTGTTGTTGTTGCTGTTATAGATTCAGCTACTCAGAGCAAGTTCCAAGCAGCACGGGCTATGGTGAGCCCGTAATGTGTGCTTGTGTTACACATCAGCAGTACACACCTACACTTGAGAGCTGCGGCCCTCAGGGGAGCAAACGGGCTCCGGGAACGGAACGGAATTATCAGGTGAAAGGCCCAAGGCGTAATTTACGACTATATGGCACTAGGAAGTGGTCAGGATAAGGATTTGGGATGGGACGGGAGAGGAAGGAATGGTGCCCAACCACTTGGACAGTCGGGGGATTGAACGCCGACCTGCATGAACCGAGACCGTCGCTCTACCGTCCAGCCCAAACTGGTTGGGTCTGTGTGAAAACGACAGGTTTTGGAAAGCCCAATAAGAGACCTGCTGATAAACAAACTAATGGTTGTTACAACATATATGCAGTAATTGTGCGAGGCTCTTCAAGTGGACTAGCGGCCATTTACTCGTAGAGTGAGCAACATTTAATCTTTTATTTTCGCTAGGCTTTCTTTGAGTAGATTAGGCTAGATTTGATTAAAATAATAGGTTAGGTTAGGATGTGATAGGTTAGGTTAGCATAGGAATAGGTAAGCTTGGGTTAGAACAGATCAAGTTGGGTCAAAATACATTAGATGTAGTTTCAAGGGCAGTGATGACGTATAGGAGCACATACTCTTCCCAGGATGTTAGACCCTACTCCCTGTGGGAGCCTGGGGCCAGATTCACGAAAGCACTTACGCAAGTACTTACGAACGTGTACATCTTTTCTCAATCTTTGGCGGCATTGCTTCCAGTTATTAAACAGTTAATAAGCTCCAAAGCACCAGGAGTCTGTTTAAAACAATAACAACAGTTGAATGGCAAGTTTTCATGCTTGTAAACTGTTTAATAAATGTAACCAAAGCCGTCAAAGACTGAAAAAAGATGTTCACGTTCGTAAGTACTTGCGTAAGTGCTTTCCTGAATCTGGCCCCTGATCCTTATCCCCGGGTCTCAAGGGCGGTCTATAGCATATCTTAAGATGAACAATATTTTCTTCGCAGCACAATAAGTTCTGGCGTCTTAATATCAACGAAAAATTAAAAGTATAAATGGAGAATGGCAACACGAGAGTGGAAATATATATATATATATATATATATATATATATATATATATATATATATATATATATATATATATATATATATATATATATATATATATATATATATATATATATATTTTGAACACTTGTAAAAGTTGTGCCCAACCTGTTCCGCGACGTAGATGGTGTACTCCAGCTGCTGGCGTCGTAGGATGGGGTGTAGCCAGCTGAGTAGGATAACCAGGTGGTGTAGTCGGTCCCTGTAGGGCAGGATCACCGCCACCTTATGGCGAGGCAGACAGGGGTGCTCTGGCTCCTGGGCCGGGCTCCACCGGCCTCCCGACGACACCCACTCCAGCTGGCGCAGGACATCCTCCAGCTGCAGCTTCTCCAGCTGGTCCAGATCGATGTCCAGATGGCCCACTGGAGGGGAGAGACGGCAGATGGCTACTGTTAAGACGGCACATGAATTAAACTCATTGATGTTGCAACTACGACGTTTCGGTCCGTCCTGGACCATTCTCAAGTCGATTGTCTTGACAATCGACTTGGGGGATTTACCTCTGCCTGGGGGATTTACCTCTGCCTGGGGGATTTACCTCTGCCTGGGGGATTTACCTCTGCCTGGGGGATTTACCTCTGCCTGGGGGATTTACCTCTGCCTGGAGGATTTACCTCTGCCTGGGGGATTTACCTCTGCCTGGAGGATTTACCTCTGCCTGGGGATTTACCTCTGCCTGGGGGTTTACCTCTGCCTGGGGGATTTACCTCTGCCTGGGGGATTTACCTCTGCCTGGGGGATTTACCTCTGCCTGGGGGATTTACCTCTGCCTGGGGGATTTACCTCTGCCTGGGGGATTTACCTCTGTCTGGGGGATTTACCTCTGCCTGGGGGTTACCTCTGCCTGGTGGTTTACCTCTGCCTGGGGGATTTACCTCTGCCTGGGGGATTTACCTCTGCCTGTGGGATTTACCTCTGCCTGGGGGATTTATCTCTGTCTGGGGGTTTACATCTGCCTGGGGGATTTACCTCTGCCTGGGAGATTTACCTCTGCCTGGGGGATTTACCTCTGCCTGGGGGATTTACCTCTGCCTGGGGGATTTACCTCTGCCTGAGGGATTTACCTCTGCCTGGGGGATTTACCTCTGTCTGGGGGATTTACCTCTGCCTGGGGGTTACCTCTGCCTGGTGGTTTACCTCTGCCTGGGGGATTTACCTCTGCCTGGGGGATTTACCTCTGCCTGGGGGATTTACCTCTGTCTGGGGGATTTACCTCTGCCTGGGGGTTACCTCTGCCTGGTGGTTTACCTCTGCCTGGGGGATTTACCTCTGCCTGGGGGATTTACCTCTGCCTGGGGGATTTACCTCTGCCTGGGGGATTTACCTCTGCCTGGGGGATTTACCTCTGCCTGGGGGATTTACCTCTGCCTGGGGGATTTACCTCTGTCTGGGGGATTTACCTCTGCCTGGGGGTTTACCTCTGCCTGGGGGATTTACCTCTGCCTGGGGGATTTACCTCTGCCTGGGGGATTTACCTCTGCCTGGGGGATTTACCTCTGCCTGGGGGATTTACCTCTGCCTGGGGGATTTACCTCTGCCTGGGGGATTTACCTCTGCCTGGGGGATTTACCTCTGCCTGGGGGATTTATGTTCTGCTACATCTGTTGATACAGTTGATGAGACCTGCTACTGCCACAGCCATTCACGATATATTAAAACGTACTGACATAGGTGTCATCCACACATTCGTAGCTCGGTCGATTAAGGCATGTGTCTGGGATGCTCCCGGACGCAGGTTCGAATCCTCGTCACGGCCCTTGTGGGTTTGTTCATTTGATGCATCACGTTAGTGTGATCTCTGTGTGTACTATGAATAGTGCAGGTGATGAGTCACAATAACGTGGCTGAAGCATGTTGACCAGACCTACACTGAACCCATTTTGCAGATCAACTGTAATGGTTGATAATGGCTAATAATGGTAATGGCTAATAATACCTTGCATATGAAAGTTTACCTGATGATCTCGCAAAGAGTTTTGCAATAGAGAAGAGACAATTAACCTGACGGAACACCTCGGAGTGGGTTTCGAGTGAAGAATAAAACCCGTTGGAGTTCGTCCAAGCGAGAGGGGTGACGTATTGAAGTGGGACCGTGCCAAATAGGTACCTCCTCACTATATCCTCCTAAGGTTTCCCCAACGTCAAGAAACTGTTTTACTAAACCCTTTATCCTAACTTACCAGAGGACCCAAAACAGAAAACGGGACAGTATGTCAATTTCGCGAGCCGCTACCCTTTTCTAGTACGCCAATTTTTGCCCTTGAGTAGAGTATACGTCTAAATGCGACGTGATATTAACAGGACGGGTTGAGCTCCTATTGGCCCATACGAGGCAGCTGCTATTTATATCCACCCAAACTCATTCACACATATATGTCTAACCATATCTAAAATAATCTTGTAAAACAGATTATAAGAGGGATTCAATGCCTCTATAACCAGCCCAGACAACGTAACTAGACGTTAGTTTTACTACGTTCACACAATGGTAATTACGTTAATAAAACGTAGTGGTTACATTAGAAGCTTTCTTGGGATAGTATCAACTGTCAATTACGTTGGAGGGTGATATTCCATTTTCTCAGGGAAGTCGTCCGCCTATGATTGAATTATATGCATTGTGTCAATCACATATATTGTTTTATTCGTTAAAAAAGGTGGTTAATTTCATAAGAATTCATACATAATATTTTTTTCCAATATGTATATTTTTCTATAAATTATCTTAATGGATTTATCACGCACCAGTGTTTTTGTTAATTTTAGGACAAATATATATATTTTAGATTTAACAAATCAATCAATTATACAGTTGAAGTGAAATGTTATAATTGGATCGGCGAGGCTTTTATATATATATATATATATATATATATATATATATATATATATATATATATATATATATATATATATATATATATATATATATATATATATTCACTATAATAATTTTGTGTTTTTCCTTTTTTTTATATAAAATAGCATGTTCCCAGAAACCCAATAAAGGCACTTTTATACCGGTCCCAAGTGCTGACTCGACGGGGTCCTTAAAGGGGCACTTTAGAGAGGGTGGACACCTGCCTCACCTCCGCCTCCCTCATATCTCACCTGCCTCACCTTATACCTCACCTGCCTCACCTCATACCTCACCTTAACCTGCCTCGCCTCCGCCTCCCTCATATCTCACCTGCCTCACCTTATACCTCACCTGCCTCACCTCATACCTCACCTTAACCTGCCTCGCCTCCGCCTCCCTCATATCTCACCTGCCTCACCTTATACCTCACCTCATACCTCACCTTAACCTGCCTCGCCTCCCCCTCCCTCACAACCACCTGTCTCACCCTTCACCTGCCTGGGGTGTCTGAACTGTTTTATGCCTTTTTGAAACGTGATTATTAGTTGCTTTTTAATGGGATGCTTTTTAATGCCTGCTTAATAATAATGCCTGCTTTAGCATTTTTTGTGCGATGGAAATGATTTGCTTTTGTAAATAAAATATATTTTTAATGGATTTTTCCACAATTTCTGTGTTTCTCCGGCACTGCAACTGTACTTTTTTTCCCTGGGGGAATGATGGTATTGATTAAATAATAATACATTTCACTCATCTATTCATACATGCATACATTCCTTCATCCATCTGTCTATTCATCTAATCGTCTATTCATCCATTCATTCATCTATTCACCCCTCTTTCATCAATCGCTTCATTCATCCATACATATTCACCCATCCATATACATATAAATTCATCCATCCAGACATCGGGAACATCAATCATCAGGCTTGATGAGGATTATAACATTAACCTTAACACGAAATAAATAAGTTTGGTGAAGTGTGTGATCAAAATTAACATTTAAATCCATTTAACATAAATTAACATTGATATGTATTGCCACATTTGACAACAACAACCACACTTATAAGATGCAATCCCCCCAGCGTCGTGGGTTAATGGTATTTAATTCCCCTGGATGATCTGAGGTTCAAATCCAGGTGTCAAAGAGTACTCAACGACTTACGCAGCCCGGGAGGGATCTCAGGGCAGAGCGGAAGATTTCTCAGCTGTTCTTCGGTGAGATGAGGAGCCCTGGTAGCCTTGGAGGTCGCCATGACTTCTTCCGGTGATGCTGATGTGGTGATCCCACTGTCCATGAGATCGTAGTCATCTTCTCGCAGGTACAGCGGTTCGAACTCCTTCTCTGCCTCGCCGAACTCTGTACCTGGTACTTCGGGTAATTTGGTGGTGGCTTTTATGTCTTCGTTCTCACCTGCGGGCTCTGATGGGCTTCGACTCACGTAGGGATGTGTGGAGGGAGACTGTGCATCGTTCGTGGCTGTGGCACCTGCCTCTGGTGCTCCTCTGGCACTGGCACTGCTGGTAACAGCTGCTGTGTGTGCAGGCGATTGGGGAGGGTGTTTGGAGCCGAGCAAGATGTTCTGATACGCTCCTATGAGGTTATCGCACTCTTCGTCCGCGCTGCTGCACCTCGCCTTGCTCAGGAAGCGTCGTCTGGCAGCGTCTTCCTGACGCCTTAGTGACGTCGTTGGGTCCCTCACTTGGGGCCTGGACGCCACGCTTCTGGCGTCGGTGCCTCTGGTGCCTCTCTCTCTTTCCGTGTGTCTTCTCACCTTCTCGTCTGAATTATGTCTCATTTCCTCACCTACATTACGGCTTACTTTATCGTCCGTATTATGTCTCGCTTCAGCACCTGAATTATGTCTCGCTTCAACACCTGCATTATGTCTCGCTTCAACACCTGAATTATGTCTCGCTTCAACACCTGAATTATGTCTCGTTTCAACACCTGCATTATGCCTCGTTTCAACACCTGTATTATGCCTCGTTTCAACACCTGAATTATGCCTCGTTTCAACACCTGCATTATGTCTCGTTTCAGCACCTGCTTTATGCCTCGTTTCAACACCTGCATTATGTCTCACTTCTTTGGCACTTGCCCGTTCGTCTTTCTGTCTGTGTCTTATGCTGTCGTCAGCATTCTCCTTCTCCTGCTTCCCTCTCTCTTCCTGGCGGTGTCTGCGCTTGCTGCTGCTGCTGCTGCTGCTGCTGCGTGTCGAGCCCTGGGCCCCGCCTTGCCCAGCAGCTGGGTGCTGGGGATATATTAGCCTAGAATGGGTGAAAGTTGTGGGTGCGTGTGGGGAGGAGTTTGTGGAGTGGGTGATGTGGGCGGTGACGAGCGTTGTGTGGGCGGTGACGTGTGGGTGAAGTAGCGGCGAGGGCGTGGCGCGGGCGGGAGTGGGCGGCGCGGCGTCAGCTCCAGCAGGGCGGGAAACAGCGTGGGTGGAGTCGTTGTAGCGATCAGACTGCGTGACGAGGAGGGAATTTCGGACGATGATAGCGGCCACTTGACTGGCGCGTCGACGATTGGCTGCCAAAGCTGTATTGACCTGAAGAAAACAAATAAGAAAACGAAACTTATCCTACTATCCACCAGTAAGTGGATTAATTATCCTACTATCCACCAGACAGAAACTATCCACCATCTCGTTTGCTTAAGACAATGTAAATACACAATTTATCAGAGGGATATAATTCTTCAAACGATATCTTCCTCAGGTATAAAGGTTTTGTTTACAAAACACAAGAAACAAAAGAGCATCAGAAGTGTGAGGTATGGCCGGCCTTGCCTCGACGGACGGGGCGTTGCGGATCAGCAGCGGCTCGATCTTGAACTGATTGAACTGACTGCGCCAGGCTCTATGAGGTGCCCTGCCCGCCCGTCCGCCGCCGCCGCCGCCCGCGCCACCGCTGGCAGCCGCCACGCCCACGCCAGCGCCTCCTAGCCGCCCAGGCTCCCCCAGCTGCGCCATCATTGTGTGGTGCACCACCGCCATCTGTCGACACAACACCTGTTAGAGATGCAGGTAGGGGTGAGAGGGGGTAAAAATACCTGTTAGCGACACGAGAAAAGGATTCAATATTTACCAAGGACATGTGCAATTGACCAGTGAACAACCCTTGTGATCACACCTGTTCACGCATGTGGTGGGAAGTACTTATGGTTCTCTCTCTCTCTCTCTCTCTCTCTCTCTCTCTCTCTCTCTCTCTCTCTCTCTCTCTCTCTCTCTCTCTCATCCTCACCCCTTCAATTCTCTTCTCCCTCCCTCCCCTTGTGCTCTTCCATCTCCGTCATTGCGACCCTCGGGAGGAGGTCCAGGACGGGTGTCCCGGGGCGGGGGTTACTGACCTGGGAGAGGGTGAAGAGGACGAAGAGAGAGACGACCACCACGAGGCTCAGCAGCAGGAGTGACCTCACTGGCCGGTAGCGAACTGTCTGGGTCACCTGCCGGAGCGGAGCGACACAGGTCAGACTCGGAGGAAGGGAAGGGAACAAATCCACAAGGGCCGTGACGAGGATTCGAACCTGCGTCCGGGAGCATCCCAGACGCTGCCTTAATCTAGATTTGTTCATTTGATGCATCACGTTAGTGTGATCTCTGTGTGTATGGGAAGGGAACTATGAGGAGGAAGCATTGATGAAGATGAAGCCACCCAAAAGGTGGCACGGGCATGAATAGCCCGTAAGTGGTGGCCCTTTGGAGCCATTACCAGCATCAATAGATGATACTGGAGATCTGTGGAGGTGGGACTGCACCCTGCGTGACGGGAGATGTCTCCCGAGGAAGCACCAAGCCATTCCGACTATATAGCACGGGGAAGGGGTCAGGATTAGGATTTGGGATGGGATTGGTGGGAGAGGAATGGTGCCCCCAACCACTTGGACGGTCGGGGATTGAACGCCGACCTGCATGAAGCGAGACCGTCGCTCTACCATCCAGCCCAAGTGGTTGCAGGGCTTCAGGGAAATCAAAGATCTATCTCTGCTCTGGGAGCGGGGGTCGTGGAGGTCCTTGGAAAAGTCTGGAGATTGTGGGTGGAAAAAAGCGGGGAATTAATGATTCAGTGTCACACGGTGAAAAGATAACTCTAGAAAGTGGAATAGGTTGAAAATACGCCTGAAAATGAAGGTTCAATGAGCAAACCATGCAAGTTAAATAAGGCCCCCCTGCCATTGCCTCCTCGTAGGGCTCACACTAACAACAGAACTAATTACAACAAATGTTATGCTCATTCCTTACGTCCTGAACACCGTACCTGGTTCCAGTACCTGTCGCCAGGTCTAAATACTAACGTAACTAAATATGAACTAAGAAAACCAGTAGAAGGCATAAAGCAATGAAAAAATAAACTTCTAAGTTGTTATAAGGATGATTGAAAATATTGTATAAGGATCAGCAAATATTTAAAGATAGATGGTGTACAGAACGCTGGCAGAAAGACTTAAGAACATAAGAATTAAGGAAACTGGTCTATTAGGTCCGTACGTGACAGCTCCTATCCAAACTCATTAATATGTATGTCTAACCTACGCTTGAAGCAATCAAGTGATGAGAGAGGGACATCGCGCTGAAAACTTTTCCACTCTCTAAGTCAGGTTCTTGCGTGCCTCTTGCCATTGGCTTTTGGCTAAATTTTCCCATAAGTTCTTCTGTGGACCTGGTTATTGCTGTGTGGTTCCTGTTCTCTGACCTGGAGCGTATAGAGGTTATAGCGCAGTCAGAATCTTAAACTTATCTGAATCTAAATCTAATCTGAATCTAAACTGAATCTTAAACAAGTGTTTAAGATTCAGCTACTTGGAACAAAAAAATCTAAGTAGCACGGGCTATGGTGAGCCCGTAGAGGACTTACCTGGCACAGGAGCGGGGCTGTAACTTTTTTCAGCTCGCAACCGATTGGACCCGAGTTTGATTCTCAGGCAGGGTGAGGCGTTTGGGCAGGCTCCCTTATGTTTGTGATTGTGACTCGATTGATTGATTGATAAAGATTAAGCCACCCAAAAGGTGGCACGGGCATGAATAGCCCGTAAGTGGTGGCCCTTTTGAACCATTACCAGTATCAATAGATGATACTGGAGATCTGTGGAGGTGCGACTGCACCCTGCGTGACGGGAGATGTCTCCCATGTCGATTGTGACTCGATTGATGAAGATTAAGCCACCCAAAAGGTGGCACGGGCATGAATAGCCCGTAAAGATTGTGACTCGATTTACCAAGCATTATATAGTTACTCTGGAGTGAGTAAGTTGTTGTGGGTGAGGGGAGTGAGACCTCGATAAGCCTAATAGGCTTCCTCTCCCCCGACAATGGGAAACCATTACCTACCGATGTCACTAATACTGGTATAGAGTCCCCATTATCACACTCCTTAACATTAAGTGGGTTTTCCCCCCTTAACCATTTATTGTTAATCTCCCCTTACTCGGTTCGATTAGCAATGTCCATTCATAATGTTATCTAAACCATCACAATATCGCTATCCTTCAAAATGAATGGTTTTCTACCATTAACACGTTATTGTTGTAAGTCTATTTCTTCCCATTAGCGTCAGGTATTCTTGGAACTATTAAGTTACCAACTATCTGATCTAAACCCCACAAAATCTAACTACCATTAACCACCATTAAGTTTGTCCTCACCTTCTCCTGATAGTGTTTACCATTAACCGCCTATAACCCGCCCCATTGACCTTGACTTTCGCGTGAGGGCTTGGCGGGCCCCGAGCAGAAAATGTTGGTTCAAGTTAATTAAATGTCGGTGTGAAATTACCTGCCTGGGAATGAGGAGTTTTACTTCTGTTCTTCATGAGATGGTGATGACGATAGTGGTGGTGGTTGTGGTGGTTGTGGTGGTTGTTGTGGTGGTTGTTGTGGTGGCTGTGGTGGTTGTTGTGGTGGTGGTAGTGGTGGTGGTGTCAGCGGGGGATTACACCCGTGCGTGGATGTAAACAAAGCCACTCACCTGGGTGTGCACCCGTGCGGGGCTGATGCGGATGAGTGCCGGGCCCGGGTCAGGGCCATGGCTGGCACTGGAGGACATGGCCACACTCAGGGCAGGCAGCAGGCACCCCCTTCATGACGCACGCCCACCCGCCACGCCCTCACCTCCGGCAGCACGCCCACGCTGCAGGACAAGAACATTTGGTCACTCCAGGGAGCTGGAACAAGTGGGTAGTGGAGCATTTCAGTCAGGCAAATTCTAAGTTAAAAATAATATATTGCATTTATAGACTGTAATATAATCTGTATGTATAGTAGAGAATCACTGTTCAAAATTGGAAGCCAGATGCCTACGGCTAACCTTTCCCAAATTTGTAAGGGGAATGGTTTGGGGTACGGGATGAACATAGGCTATCGGGGACATCCAGAATTCCAAAGGGAACAGCTTTTGTCAGCGCTACATTCAGACACCCTCCACGACAATCTTTTGGCCATTACCCGCCGGCTACACAGCCAAACATTTTGAAAATAAACATTTTAAAACAGCATTTTTTATTATAGTAAATTATTCTATTATTCACTGATCTCGGGAAAATTAACAGACATTTCCTGCTATCCATACTTTGCCCGTAGTAGCATAATAAAGATGATCCCTCCCCACCCCCACCACACCTTCAAGGCGTTCTCAAGCTTCCCGCCTCTTTCTCTATGAAAATGGGGAACTATTCTATTTTTTAGAAAATTCACACATACCCATTCTCTCTTGTCACCGACGACTATTTATACGCCAGTGGTAGACTATTATATTTTGTATACGGGAGAAACAGCGCCAGAGAAAGAGACAGACACACAGACAGACAGCGAGAGAGACACACACAGAGATGAACTGGTAGATGGATAGAAAGATGGATACATAGACGGATCGATGGATGGATAGATATATTGATGGCTAGAAAGATGGAGAGATATCTCGATGGATAGTTTTGTGTTTATTTCAAGTGGGGGAAAAAATGGAACTACGGTCATGCGCACAGTGTGTCCGAAGTGGGCTCCTGAGAGGCTAGAATGGAAATATTAATCCCAAATGACACCCTGTCGACAGAAGATTGAGAAGCCGGACCCAAAAGCTGACGCTCAGCGTTTTGTAGGGGGACCTTCGACAAGCCGCCGACTTCCTGTCCCCCGTCGAGTGCCACAAGTCAGCGTTCCAACCATGTTAAAACCTTTTGTCTCTGTCAGCACCGCCTAGCTCCTCCTGACAAAGACTTGTCTCTCCAGGCCCAAGCACACACACACACACACACACCCTATATCCATACCTTATACTCACACCCTATACCCCTACCCTATACCCACCTACCCTACACCCTCCCCTTTCCTCTCCCTCAGCCACCCACCTAACCTCCCCCAGATACATGAACACCGAAGAGGTAAAAGTCGAGACATTTTTGTGTTTTCCAGCGGCTCCGGTGACCACGAATTTCGGCAACAGGTTAACCTTTAGTGTGCTCGGCGCCGACTTTGTGCTCTCGACGGCAGACAGGAGCAGACTGTCTGGATTGGCAGGGGGAGGAGAGAGAAGGGGGCAGACTGTGTGCTTCCACACACACACACCGAAGAGTTCAGGGGGGGACATGATCACCACATACAAGATTCTCAAGGGAATTGATAGGGTAGATCAAGATAGATTATTTAACACAAGGGGGACACATGCACTAGGGGGACACAGGTGGAAACTGAGTGCCCAAATGAACCATAGAGACATTAAAAAGAATTTGTTTAGTGTCAGAGTAGTTGACAAATGGAATGCATTAGGAAGTGATGTGGTGGAGGCTGACTCCATACACAGTTTCAAGTGTAGATATGATAGAGCCCAGTAGGCTCAGGAACCTGTACACCTGTTGATTGAGAGTAGAGAGGCGGGACGAAAGAACCAGAGCTCAACCCCCGCAAGCACAACTAGGTGAATACACACACACACACACACACACACACACACACACACACACACACACACACACACACACACACACACACACACACACACACAGACAAACACACACACACACACACACACACACACACACACACACACACACACACACACACACACACACACACACACACACACACACACACACACACACACAAACACACACACACACACACACACACACACACAGACAAACACACACACACACACACACACACACACACACACACACACACACACACACACACACACACACACACACACACACACACACACAAACACAAGCATAAAAATTTCACTCTGCATATACGAGTTTAGTCCCGAAGTTCATGAACTAAAGCATACTTATTGCTTGTCCAGTGAGCTGGTGTGTGGCGGCGTCCATAACCTTCCAGACCGTGATAGGTCTTGAACCCCAACACCAAACCAAATATATTTCTGCTCATAGGCTCCATATGCTACAATAAATGTTAACCGACGCAGGACAGTTTAGACCTATTGTCTTATGTATGACCCTCTGTCCTGCGTGACAGTGAATACTAGTATTAACCTCAATTTAATAAGACTATCAAAATCCTCAGATTAGGCAAAATTGTAATTAATTTTGTCAATAAAGATGTTAATAATAATAATAAACCGACGCAGGGAATAAGCCACAACAACGTGATTGAACACAAACATCCCAACACAGTCTCCCACAAGTCTACAAAGTTTCAACTTTATCAGCGTCCACAAAGAACCAAAACATCGTCACTTTCACTTCATATGTGAATTTTATTTAACTATTAAAATACATCTGACTTGTGCCATTAATACATTATTATACCCGTTGTATATTGTATTATTCAACATTGCTTGAGAGTTCTCGGTCTCTCTCTCAGACACGAGATCAGACCCAAACTGTATAAACAGCTTAGACCATCCTAGACCCCCATCAGCATAAATCAATAATCATTTTAATCCCATCACGCATCACAAACTTTGTCGAGAAAGTCGTGAGGAACAATCCCCAGCCCATCGTCGCCCTAGAGACGACCCACCATGGACCCACTGCATGTGGAGAATGGAATGGAGGTGGTGGTGGTGGTGGGGCGAGTGTGTGTGTGATGGAGGTGATGGAGAGGGTTCGAGTGATGGAGAAAGGGGGGGGGGCAGGAGGGCTGTCAGTTGTGTGTAGAGGGCAGGTCAACAAGATGTGCTCATCTCAGCAAGGAATGAGCAAGGAAGCTGCCCTGGTGGTGGATAGGACCAACGTGTCTTATCTTTGTGTACATCTACTGAGTTACTTTCCATTTCGTAAGAAATATTCCGTTCGGTTTAACGTCTGTAATGTCAAACATTCCCCCTCCCCACCCCCCCCCCCCCCCGAAAAAAGCTTCGATGCCCAAAAAAACAGCACTGAAAGTTTCTTATTTGCCTAGATAGCCAAGTTCTATCACTCAAGACTATCAAGAGGTAAGCACTTGAACTGGACCTAGTGGCACCAAACTCATATTGTGACTAGGCCAGGTCGTGTGACACAGGTGACACAGGTGCTGCCCTCTACACACGTGACAACGGCTCGCTCTGACAGAGACATATATGACCCGTGCCTCAAAGCATATTCTGTGCTTGAACACGATATAATAAGCACCCCTTCATTGAGAAGTATTTCCATTTCCGCCTTTACTTCTTTCTTCCCAGGTCTGTTTTCTTTTGATTTCTCCTCTTCCAAATCACATCCCTCTCTCTCCTCTTCAATCGCCTTCTCTCTCCTCTTCTTTCTCGTGTCCCTCTCTCCCGGGGTTCCATAATTCATAGCCTTCTTTTCCCAGGATCTCGCACGTAAATTCGGAAAACTCTTCAGTGGTGTTGTCGCTGAGGATTTTGGGACTATGTGATCTCGAGGTGGGAGGAGACATGTCCCTGTCACTGCCCCAGGTCTTGAAACACTCTGTCACTGCCCCAGGTCTTGAAACACTCTGTCACTGCCCCAGGTCTTGTAAACACTCCGTCACTGCCCCAGGTCTTGTAAACACTCTGTCACTGACAACAGGTCTTGTAAACACTCTGTCACTGACAACAGGTCTTGTAAACAATCTGAAATTGACAACATGTCTTGTAAACACTCTGCCACTGACAACAGGTCTTGTAAACACTCTGTCACTGTCAACAGGTCTTGTAAACACTCTGTCACTGTCAACAGGTCTTGTAAACACACTGTCACTGACAACAGGTCTTGTAAACACTCTGTCACTGACAACAGGTCTTGTAAACACTCTGTCACTGTCAACAGGTCTTGTAAACACTCTGTCACTGACAACAGGTCTTGTAAACACACTGCCACTGTCAACAGGTCTTGTAAACACTCTGTCACTGCCAACAGGTCTTGTAAACAAACTGTCACTGACAACAGGTCTTGTAAATACTCTGTCACTGACAACAGGTCTTGTAAACACTCTGTCACTGACAACAGGTCTTGTAAACACTCTGTCACTGACAACAGGTCTTGTAAACACTCTGTCACTGACAACAGGTCTTGTAAACACTCTGTCACTGACAACAGGTCTTGTAAACACACTGTTACTGACAACAGGTCTTGTAAACACTCTGTCACTGACAACAGGTCTTGTAAACACTCTGCCACTGACAACAGGTCTTGTAAACACACTGTTACTGACAACAGGTCTTGTAAACACTCTGTCACTGACAACAGGTCTTGTAAACACTCTGCCACTGACAACAGGTCTTGTAAACACACTGTCACTGACAACAGGTCTTGTAAACACTCTGTCACTGACAACAGGTCTTGTAAACACTCTGCCACTGACAACAGGTCTTGTAAACACTCTGTCACTGACAACAGGTCTTGTAAACACACTGCCACTGTCAACAGGTCTTGTAAATACTCTGTCACTGACAACAGGTCTTGTAAACACTCTGTCACTGACAACAGGTCTTGTAAACACTCTGTCACTGTCAACAGGTCTTGTAAACACTCTGTCACTGTCAACAGGTCTTGTAAACACACTGCCACTGTCAACAGGTCTTGTAAACACTCTGTCACTGTCAACAGGTCTTGTAAACAAACTGTCACTGACAACAGGTCTTGTAAATACTCTGTCACTGACAACAGGTCTTGTAAACACTCTGTCACTGACAACAGGTCTTGTAAACAAACTGTCACTGACAACAGGTCTTGTAAACACTCTGTCACTGACAACAGGT